GGAAAAAAGCTCCACAGATTGATTCTGCTGATGAGAATCACGATTGGGCATTGCCAAACCAAGCCCAGGGTGAGCTGAGCTCAGCCCCAGCCTCACCACAGCCACCCTGCCAGGGTCTGTGTCCAGGAGCCTTGCTTGCGCCCACAAAGCTCCCGCATGAGGGTCCCTGCATGGGGAATGGGCTGCAGCCTGTGGGGCAGGATCAGGCCCCTGGTCTCAGGTGGGCTAACCCTGTTGCGAGCATCCTGGCTTGAACAGCATCTTTCTCTTCACCTCTGGTGCCTTGGCTTTACCTGCCCAGCGGGGAAGTTGAGCACGCGGAATTGTGAGATTCATTTCAATGCCAAAACTCAACAGACTTCAATGTTGAGGGTTTCTATTTGTTTTTTATTAAATTCCCAATTTTGGGGCCTTTAAAGACCTATTTCCCCTCCTCTTCTCTCCAGCAAGGACGGCTCTGGAGGTCCCTCCTGGCCTGAAACGAAGGCAGAGACTCAGCAGTGACCACGGGACTTGAGGAGCTGCTGCTTTAAAAGGAAAACAAGGTAAGAGTTTGGGAATGCAGGATCTGACCCTCCTGCCAGCAGCTCCCTCCTGCTTTGCTCCTGTAGAGCTGGGAAAGGCAGGAATTCCCATGGGAAGGACGTGACTCTGGCATTCCCAGGATGGCGCTGGGGGCACATGGGGACTTGGACCCCCATGGGCACATTGGAGGGCACCAAGGAGGGCGCAGGCCTCTGTGTTGGGGGACACGGCAAAGCCTCGAGGGTCCACGCTGGGACTGGGGGGCACCCATGGGTGGGACCCCCCTGCAGGCCCCGCTCTGCTGCACCCACATTCCTGCTGCGCTCCGGCCGTGCCCTCTCCCTGGCTGTGATTTCATTCTGATCTCGGCTGTTTTCCTCCCTCCTCCATCCCTCCTCCCTCCTCTCCCTGCCAAGTCCGCAGGTTCCTGCTGTGACCTTGAGCTGGTTTCTGGAGCCGGTTGTGGGTTTCTTAAAGGAGCCGTGGGGGGCTCCCAACGACCCCTTTCTGCCCCCCCAAAGCACAGCACTGGGGACCCCAGGGATGGGGGGGAACTGGGAGCAAGAGCCCCAAGGGCACAGAAACTGGGAGAGGGTGGAAGTGGCCAATTCTGCAGCCACGGAGCCACATCTTGGCCATGGCCACCACCAAGCACTGTGTTTTCTGTGAGGACAAACAGGGATGCTCCTGGCCCCATGGGTGTGCTCACACGTGTGTGCTCATTGGGAAGCTGTTGCTTGCACCCAACAGTAGGTGTTGCACATAAACCCCAAATCCCATGAGCATCCCCATGCCCCAGTGTGAAGGTGGAGCCTCAGCAGGGCTGAACCCCCCACCCAAACTGCCCTCACCCCAACTCCTCAAGGCACCTCAAACCCTTCTCTGCGTTAATCCCTCTTTGGGGACCCCCAGAATCTGGGAATGGCATCGCCTGAGGGGGAACCAGCTCTTGAGCTGAGATTGAGAAGCCAAAAAGCATCTTGAAGTGCCAACAGCTCTGGTGTGGACATGCACATGTAGTCCCTGAACATGGAAGCACACGTGTTCCAGGGCCTGTGCCATGGAGGTTTGAAGCCACTGCTTAGATGTCAGCCTTGTAATAGGCAAGTAATAGAACTTTGGAACTATGCAGGCAGCAGTTGGTGCTCCGCAGAGATGGCGTCTTTAATCCATGGGGATGCTCTTGGGGAATCAGGGAGAGGGGTCTTAAAGCAGGGAGAAGGAAGAAGGGGCTGCACTGCTGCTGCCTGCACAGGGTGTTGTGCTTTGACGGGCTTGGAAGGTGCTGCGGTGACAAACCCACTGCTGAGGCTTCCTCATGCAGCATCTCATCCATAACCCACTGGAGATACTGGAGAGATCCAAAGGTGCCCACTGACTCAATCCTAGGGATTGCTCCCTGCTGCTCTCTGGGTGCATGGACCAATAGGACCCTCAGATCAGCCTGGGGACCCCAAAACCAATCACTGCCATGTGAGTGGGCGCCAGCAGCACCTTCTGCCCTGGACGTGGAGCCCGTGATGGCTCCTAATGCTGTGAGAAGAATATTCTCAGCCCCATCTATTATAGATACATATGGGGGAAACTGAGGCACAGTGGAGTTACAGAAGCACAAGGGATAGAGCATAGTGATGGGAGAAACTCAGGAGGGTTTGTGCCCAGACCAACTGCCCAAGGGATGAAACCCTAGAGATATCCCTCTGCATCACTATAAAAATAAGGGTTCTATTTGCACTACATCACCACCAATGGGCCACCAAAAGCCCCAGCACAGTAGCCAGGGCACCCTTGGGAGCCCCTGATTCCATCAGGGAAAGGAGAAGCCACCCCTGCTGCTTTGATCTGAGCTGCTGGGACTGATGCTCTGCAGGTGAGGGCTGTGGAGCCAGCACAGGAGGCTCAGCCATCACCACCACCACCACGGGGAAAGCCCGAGCCCGGCGGGAGGACACAGCCCTGGGCTCAGCCAGTGCCACACTGGGAGGAGGAGGAGGAGGAGTGATGGAGCAGGAGGAGGCAGGAGAGAAGGAAGAAAAGGAGAAAAATGAGTTTTCCTGCTGGCCCGGCGGCGCGGGCATTGATCGGGAGCGGAGCGGGGCTCAGAGCCTCATTCCCCACCGCTGCCTCACAATTATTGGAAAAAGCCCTGTGCTGCTGCTGCACTGAAATTAGTTATTGATCTCTTGTCTGGGTGACAGGCACAGCGCTGGGGCTGCTCTCCCGCAGCAGCCTCCGCTCGCCCCGGGGCTCAGCATCCCAGGGCTCAGCATCCCAGGGCTCAGCATCCCGGGGCTCAGCATCCCAGGGCTCAGCATCCCAGGGCTCAGCATCCCAGGGCTCAGCATCCCGGGGCTCAGCATCTCAAGGTGATGAGGTCCCGGTGCTTGTGTCGGCTCCAAAGCTGCTCCCCAAGGAGGTTTCGCCCACCCCGTTGCATGTAATGGAGACATCAGTGGGAGAAAAGGGAGCTGCCCCATGCAGGATGGGACCTTCCCCCCACCGCTTTTACCCTTTGCCCCCCATCCATATCCATTTCCCACCACAGGGATTGGGGTCAGGGTGTCCTGAGGCCATTTCTACCTCCTAATAGTGTGGCCATGGTGGAGAACAGCGGGAAATGAGGCAGCTTTTGTTGCCTGGAAAGGTTCTGCACATCCCTGGCCGCAGCCATTGGAGAGGCTGGACCAGCACTGGCCGCCTGGCCCTGCAGGGCAAGGAGCATGAAGGGAGCTCTGAGGCTGGGCAAATGGTTTCTGCCCATCCCAGGGACACTTCCACAGCTTCCACAACAAAAAAGGGTATTTATTTCCTTGTTGTGATGCAGGAACAGGGACATTTCAAACAACCCCATTATCCTCCAAATGTCACCAGAGAGATGCTTCGCCCCAGGGCAAAGCTGGGGTTTGGTTTCCAGTGGGTTCATTTGGAGCCTCACCTTTGATTTAACTGAGGTGTTCCCTTTGCACAGAGCAAGGGATTCACTGGCAGTGATGGGGGTTTGAGGCTGGCACTGATCTCTTTGGTCACACTGGGGCTGCTGGACCCTTTATAGGGGTTTTATCCACTGACTTTTTTACCCCACAAAACAACGACCTGAAACGATCCCTCCACGGGGTGCAATTAAAGTGGCCAGGGGCACAGCCAGCTCTCACCTCCTCCTTCCCCCTCAGCATCCCAGGACCCTAAAGATGGGCGTCCGTGGTGAGAATGGGGGTCCCAGCCCCTTCCCCAGGCCCGGACAAAAGCCTGCGAACAAAAGCCAGTGGGATGCAGGAGGCATCTCCCAGCCGGGGGGTATTTGTTTAGCCCAGGGGAGGTGGAGAGGGGAAAGGAAACTGCATTTCAAAGTGAAGCCTTTGTAGCCCCCCAGTGCCCTCAGTATGGCCTCATACCCCTGGGTCCCCTCCGGGAGGGAAAACAGAGAAGATGGGAAGTTAAGAAAAGGCAAATCCAGCCGGGAGGAGGGAGCTTCCCCCGGCTCAGCCTGTCTCTGGGTGGGTTAAGCTGAGGATGCCCCAGCGCCAGGGACCGACTGCTGGGCTGAGTGAGCTTGGGAACTCAAGTGTTCCTCCCCATTCCTCTCCATCCTCACACTTACACTGGGTTGATATTTTAAGGGGAGGGCGTTATCCTGGTGCTGGATCAAAACCTGCTCCTGGCCCCTTCCCGGAGCACCCAGAGCAGAGCTGCGGGCACACAGAGGCACCAAAAGAGGTTGGCAGAAGCCGGCCAGGCAAAGCCCAACCCTCATGGACCTGTCCAGGCTTCCCACCAAGGTGCCCCCAGCACTGGGAGGGCTCTGACCCAGGCTGCTTCTGCAGGTCCTTTTGTCAAGTCCATCACCCAAAGCTGGGCACATCCCTGCGTGGACAAACCCCGGGTGCCTCCAGGCCTGCCTTTGACACCAACCTGTGGGTCCCCAGGACCACATGAGGTCTCCCGGGGCTGTTTTGGTGTTTCCCAACCCTAAAAGCACCCATTTCCTCCCCACCAGGCAGGGAGGTGCAGCAGGAACAGCCCGGGGATCCTCTCATGAGAAACAGCTTCCCAGTTTGTAACTGGGCACTCTCCCAGTGAGTTCCCCTCACGCCAGCACTGGCACAGGCAGGCACTGTGTGGACAAGCCTGCACAGCCCCCAAACCCCCTAAACAAAGCTGGGATGTGGCTCCCAACCACTCCTGAGAGAGCAGAGCTTTGCACTCCATGGGCTCTGCTTAGGTATGAAGGGGTAGGTGCGGCGCTGAGCCCATCCAGGGGCTCTCCTGCTTCCCACTTCCCTCCGGCACGCCGGCGGAAGCCGAGCCCACGGCAGCAGCGGCGCCTGGGCAGATGGAAAGACCAAATGATGGCTTTGCAGGGGGCCTGGGATTTGTTTGAGCCATCGCTGTCTCAGTGAGTGACTTCGAATAACGGATACACTTGAGAAAATCGCCATCTGCTCCCGGACAATCCGCAACCAGAGGAAAAGGTGAAATACATTCAGTGACTGCTTTATCTGCCGGTCCCCGGCTCCAACAGCAGGGTCAGGCTTTGTGCAGCGTCCTGAGAGTGAGTTAGGAATGAGAGGATGGTTTGGGATGAGCAGGAAGCAAGGAAGAGGGGAAGCGTTGGATGCTGCGCCTGCGGCAGGGCTCTCCCCGCATCCCGGGTTTGGTGAATTTGGCAGGAAGACACAATCTCACCAGATCTGTTATTTTTTTTCCCCCATCTCTGAATTTCAAGTGCCTCCTGCTTCCAGCTGGGCTGGAAATACCACAAAAACAGATGCTACAATGCAGCACATTGAGTGCTTCGAACCTGGGGAGAAATCAGACATGAGAAATACAGGCAGGGTTTGCAGCGCCGGTCCCATCAACCGTGCCAGGGATGAGCCTGAGGGTGGTTGGAAGAGTCCTCACGCCCATAGGCAGGCTCCAGAAATCAAACCCCTCATCCTCAGCCAAAACCCATCCCAGGAGTAGATGAAGTGCCCCCTGCATCTCTGCTTGGCCATGCCTGTGAGCACAGAAACCCCCTCCTTGCTTAGATGGCTGAGGTTTAGCCATTTGCAATTAGAAGGGGGATAAATCCTACCCCAAAGTCACAGCACCTTGCGGCAGTCCCTGGCTGGAGGGATCCCTGGTGCTCCCAAGAGGACTTTGCTGAGCAGGAAAAGCCTCAGCACTTGGTCCTGCAGGCGTGGGAGCAGCTGGGGAGGAACCGAGCTGGATGTGACCATTTTCGGTGGCCTTTCACTCCTGGCAAGCCCAAAGCAAGAGTGCAGCGGTGCTGGACACCAGCGCTGCCCTGCACTCCTCCGGCACCAAAGAGAGCCTGTTGCATGGGTAAAAGCAACGACTGGGTTTCTTCAACCCTCTTTTCCTCACTGGGCTTTACCTGTGCACCAGGGTGTGTTTGGCACCTGGGGAACACCACCCAAGCTGGCACCACCACCAGCCATTGTCTCGGCCAATGCATCCACTGGGGATGCAGCCCTGGGTGTCTTGAGCTCTGACTCAGCCCGGGGAGAAGCTGCCAGGCCCTGCACACCCAAGATACCACACTGAGCCCTACTGAGCTGCTGTGGCCCCATGGATATGAGCCAGGGATAAACCCTTCCCGAGGGGCAGTGGCTCCCACTGGTGTGGATGTGCTGGTGTGCCCAAAGCCGGGCACAAATGGAGGAGAAGCCCCCTCTGAGATCTTTGCTGCCCATGTGGAAGATAAAAGCTCCCATTTGGATTTACAGCAGGCAAAAGGTGGGCACGGTGCTGCCTCAAAGTGCTGCCACCGTGCTCAAAGCAAGAGGTTGGCCTAGCCCTAACCACAGTGTCATTGGGAGTCCCTGGCTAGGTGTCATTGCACGGGGGACCCGGCAATGTGTCCTGGGCAGCACCATAGCCACACATGGGTCCTATGTGCCAGCAGAGCATCCCTGAGCATCCCAGCCGGCGACGGGCATGATGCATGGTCGCCATTGCCCTCCACAACCAATCCCCTCCTCATGGTCCCCAACTGGCTTCGCACCAAGCACCGTGGGCACCTCCCGCTTGGCACGGGCACGATCCCGGTGGTCAGGAAGAGAGGATGAGGCTGTGGATGAAGGGCAGAGCGCGCCGCTGCGGCGTGCGGGAGCGGGAAGGCGATGGAGAGGGAGCAGGAATCTGTTGCCCAGGATGTGTGCTTCGCTGTCAGCCGGCTCTGATTAACGGGCTGCCTTCCAGCTCCGCGCCGGCTGCGTTCCTGGCAGGAGCGGAGCCCCCCGGCTTCCTGCCGTAGGAGCGGCTCGCTGAAAGGTTACATTTGCACAATGTGCCGCTGGAAAAGCGGTGCCAGAGGTTGCAGGCGGGGGAGCCGGCGAGCGGCGGCTCCGCTCTGCCTCTGTAATGGAAAAAACCCTCGGGGGGACGCGCAGGGAAATATCAGCTTACACTCCCCCCAGCACAGCCGAGCTGGGCCTGCATGGATGGCCACGGATGTGGGGAACAAGAGAGAAGGCTGGGGTGATGGCGGTGCGCATCCCTAAGTCCTTAGCACCGCTCTGGATCAGCCCCATCACCGTGGGCTGCAGGGCACTGAACCACTCCCGCGTGACACCAGGCTCCCCGGTCCGGTTTTGCACTTGCTGTAATCAAGATCCCACTTCTCTATGGCTTGGTGTGGAAAACTGAGGTTGTTGAGGGGAAACATCCCAATATTCCAAGGAGGAATTTCCTTCGATGGAGCTTCGCTCCGCACCGCTGTGATTTATGGGGTTTGGCACAGCCATGACTACCTCCACACACATGCACATGTCTCATCGCCACTTTTCCCAGCCTCATTACCCCATAAGTTTGGGTCTGGGAATATTATTTTGGTGTCTGGAAAGTCCAGGTCCTTGTGGGATTGCTGAGCCCGCCATAGCTGCTCCCTGCCTCACAGCATCCCCTAAAACCTCTGCTCACCGCCTCCACCATCCCTCTGGCACCAAAGCAGTCTCCTCCTGAGCAGCTCAAAACCCTTCAGGGTTCTCCCTCCCTGCACAAGAACCTTCCTTTCACCTTAGTGCATCTCACCCTGGTCACCTTCTTGCCCCCAGCCATGGAGGGGGGCTCAGGGCAGCAGGGGCAGCACCCACCCTCACCCCAGGGTGCTGGAGCCAGCTCACTCTGCCTTGCAGGAGCCGACATTTTCCTTTTTGTCTCCCTTGTTTCCTTGGTTTCAAGGTTTTCCTTCCTCACCGAGCCCCTCACTAAAGGAAAAAGAACAAACTAGGGAGGATCCCCAATTCAGGGTGCTCCGAGGGGATCACAGCTGCCCCTGCAGGCTCTTGGCACCCAATGGTCTTGCCCTGGTTCCTTGGGTTTGCCCCAAAGCTTTTAAATCTCACCCTCACCATGTGCAGCAGCCACTCAGACTCCAAACCCCACCAGATCCCCTTGCTCAGCACCACCCATCCCGGTCCCTGCAGTGCTGGGGTGTGAGTCCTCCCTCCCCGCTGTCCCCGGCTTCCCTCTGTGTCTGTTTTCATTAGGATTTGGAGATAAGCTTCCAAATAAAGGCAGTGTTTTTAACCACTCTGCCTTATCAGCCAGCATCCAACAGCATTCCTTATCTACCCAGCAGGGCTTGGAAGATGCTGGGAGGGAAAAGGAGACCCCAAATAGCCAGACCTCTCTTTGTTTAAGATGCAAACCAGCCCTGCAGCCTGTGGCATGGCTCCGGAAGGTACTGGTGGCTTTAGGAAACTACTCCTACCATGAGCAGCTCCTGCCCGGGGACAGCAGTGTTAAGACGAGCACATGTGTGAATACAACCCCAGGACCAGCTCAGCACACCTGGGTTTTATTCCTGGTTCTGCTGCTGGCCCAGGGATGACCTTCAGCGAGTTGTTTCCCTTCCCTATGCCTGCATTTCCGCTTGCTCTCCCACTGTCAGCCCTTTCCAAGCCCAGCGATGCTCTGCCCAGTGAGATACCCCCCAGTCCAAGGAGACTCCACATAACTTCACATCACCCCTGCCAAAGGTGTGCAAACAGCAGCAGCTCTGAGCATTGGCAGGTCCTACATCCTCTGAGTGCTCACCAGAGCCCCACCACCACTGAGTCCCATCCCCATCCCATGGCTTGATTTTACTCTGTGTGTGTCTGTGTGTGTGCAAAGGCCTGAATATAGGAACCAGCTGCCGGCAGCTTCCAGCCCCCAAACTGCTCCTCGCATGGGCCTTGCCACAGGGGTGTCCCCTGGGATGGGGTTGGAGCCAGTCTCATTCCCTTCCTCTGTGTCTTGGGGCCTATGCTTGGGAGAAGTCCATAGAGGAGTAACACCAATGATGGCAGCAAACTTGCCCCCCTAAAACATCCAGCTGTTTGGAGGCAGCAGACCAACCAGAACAGCCCAGGTCTGCCCTCTGCAACGAGATTAACCAAAACTTGGCATTCTTTATTGGGCTTTACAGAAAAAGGACCTTTTGCACAGGGATCAGAGGTCAACAGAAGTCCAGGGTTGAGCTAGAAATGATGGGTAAAATAAGCCCTACTGCTGTTGCCCAGAGCTCCCATCCCACACAGGGTCCCCATTAGGGATCAGCTCTGTTAGAGTCCCATTACTGGTGGTGGAGGAGCACACCTACCTAGATGGCATGGAGCTGTTTCCAGCCCTCACTACCCGGATCTCAGTGCACAGGATGCAGATGCTGCCCTGGGATGTGAGTAGGGAAGGCAGGAAGCCACAAGCATCCTGTTCCCACTCCAGCCCTGCCATGCTCCCTCCCTGCACACGGCAGAAGGTGCTAGTGTTTGGCTGGAGGGGTGGATGGGGAGAGTGCAGGGAAGGAGGGTGGTGGTGGTGCAGGCAGGCAGGACCCACATCCATAGCAAATCCAGTCCTGGAAGCACCGCAGGAACCCGGGACTGGGCACAGCAGGGGCCAACGTGTCCCATGTTATTGCCTCCAGTGTGGAGCAGATGTTTAGAAGAGCCTGGCTCCCAGAAACCCCCACTGTAAACCTCGTTGCCAGAGCATGCGAAGAATCTCAACACTGAAGCACAGCCAAGACACCCAGCTCTTTGGGGAAGCAGCATCTACAGATGCAGGCAGCACAGTGGCTTTTGGGGACAAGCGTGTCACGCTGGGCGCTGTTGGGTCCTCTGGCCTCCATCCTGCACTCACTGCCTTCCTTGAGCCACAGCCTGTCTCAAGGATGAGGTTGTTTCCCTGCTCTTTTCCCAAACAAGGTCTCCAACCAGACCAAAAACCCCCTTGAGTCCACCGAGCCTTCGCTTGTGGACAGCAGAGATCTGGCTGATTGCATGGGGTTGGATTTTTTTTCCTCCTTTCCAGCTGTTAAATTGCATTATAGACAGTTAAAAATACATCACATACTTTCCTAATGTGACTTTTCCGTGGTAAGCAAGCAGCACGGCAGCACCGAGATGCTGGAGGTCACAGAGAGCTGCTCGCTCATGCCCAAGGGTGACCAAGTGAGAGGCTCTAATTGTGTGGCCCTAAATTTGGGTCCTACAGAGGGGAGCTGAGTGGTCCCACAGCAGCTCTGGCCTCGGCAGCCTGACCCTCAGGCTCACGGCCTCTCTTTTGCCTCAGTTTCCTCCCTTGTCAAAGCATTTATGGTGTGTTCCCTGCAATGAGATCTCACATGAACCAAAACTTGGCCTTCTCTGTTGGGCTTTACAGAAAAAGGGTCTTTTGCACAGGGATCAGAGGTCAATACAAGTCCAGGGGTGAGCTAGAAACGAGCTGTTAACAGCATTACAGCAGAAAGGCCTAATTCCTGAGTGACATGCCAGTGGGACACAGCCTGGCCAGAGCCCACAGCAGGCATGGGGCAGTGCCAGGGTGGCTGAGCTCAGCCTAAGGCAGCAGCATTGCTGCAACCCATGTGCGAGCTCAGATTTATCTCCCCTTCTCGCAGCACAGCAAGCTGCTCCGAGGTCTGGGTGGGTGGAAAAACCATCTCCTTTTGGCTTGCTACAGCCCTGGAAGGAGCAACCTACATCCCCAAGGATGTGGTCCCTCGTGGCTGTGGGGAAGGCAAGGGGAGAGCAAAGGCGATCCTGCCCTCGGTTCCCAGTGCTGGGAAGGTGTTTGCATCAGCCCCCTTCATCCCAGCCAGGCTGCATCAACCAATTCCAACCCCGACAGACACCGACCCAACCTCTCACAGGGCTGATGCCACAGCCCCAAGCATGGGGTTGGGCTGCAGAGAGGAGCCCAGCGCCCCAAAGCAGCTGGGGCACCCTGGACCCCAGTGAGGAGCTGGATGGGGAGGAGAGCCTGCGAGAGGGCAAGGAAGGAGTTAACTTCCCAGCACTGCCAGCCCCCCCTCCTGCTTCTCTGCTAACTTTGGGAGGAAGGGAATAGCATAAAGGTAAGAGTGGAGGAAGGAGAGAGGAGACAGATGAGAGAAGGAGCAAGCGAGGGAGAAGGGGGAGCGGGAGAGAGGAACAGACGGCAGAGAGGGAGAGCGTGGGGGGGAAGATGCTGACGCTTCTCCTCCATCTCTGCGAGAGGCAGATAGAGGGGAGCAAGGGGAGAGAAAAAAAAGAAGGCAGCAAAGACCAAGGGAACATGGGAGAGGGAGAAGGAAGGAGCCCGAGCGAGGGAGCATGTGTGAAAGTCGCAGTGAGAGAAGGGGCCTCTTTGATTCCCCTGCCTCATACCAGACAGTGTCTAGACTGCAGCAATTATTGTCAGCTCAGAACACCCAGGCATTGCCATTTCAGCTGAAAGGGAGCTTAACAAAGAGCGAGGAAGAAAAAACCCTACCCTGCCGGCACAGAGCTGGTCTCCCTCCAGCACAAGGGGCTCTTCGGAGGGTCCTCCATCACCCCAAGCCCCCAGCCCCGGGTGCCCTCACAGCGAGAGGGAGCAAAGAGCTTGCTTGGAGCGAGGTGGCCACGGTGTGTGAGCAGTTCCCGGCCCAACCCCGGGGTCCTTGGCTGGTTTTGGGGTGCACCCGCTGAGCTCAGCTCTCCCTGCAAGCCCAGGTTATGGGGTGCAGAGCTGAGGAGCCCTGGGGAGGTGCCTGGTGGAGGGGGAGCTTCCCCAGCGGGCAGCATTGGGCTGTGAGTGCCCCTGGAGCTGCTCCCCAGGCCAGTGGCAGATGGTCAGAGAGACACCTCAGCATCACCAGAGCCTGGGGGATGAGCACGCCTCCTCTGAGCAACAGGGATGTGGCCCATAGAGCTGGGGACCTTCTCCTGCTTGGGGGACCCTGACGAACGCTGCTCCGGCAGCTCCCCGGCTCCCTTGGGGGTCAGGAAATGACAGGAGGTCACTCGTGCAAAATCACAGCGATAAAATCATCCCTCCTCTCCTCCATCCTGTTTCCTCACCCCCACTGGGGGCGTTACCCCTTCCCCTCTCAAGCCCTTTGCCCTCTAAGGGGCTTTTGTGCCTTTGGAGGTCTGGGATGCGGCCGAGCCTCACAGGAGGGAATTAACACCCAGAGCTGGCAGAGAGTCAGGAATTCCTGCCATCCGCTGGAAACACCACCCCGTGCCCACCCCGGCTCTGGTGAGAGCCAGCTCCAAATACCTCGGAGGGGAAGAGGTCGGGAGGAGAGCTCCTGTGCCCTGTCTCTCCCGTACCCAGAGTTTTGGAGGTGGTGATGATGCCACCCCACTGTGTGTGGGGCTGTCGTGCAGATGAGCCCCATTGGGCTTATCCCCAGCACCACCCATCTTCACACTTAGGGTGCAAAGAGCAGCAGGGCCAAGTGACCTTCCCCACTGGTGGATGGCACCAGGGACTGGCCCCGCAGAGGCTCAGGACCAGTCTGCTGGGAAAGACAACTGATCCCTGCAGACACCAGAGCTCAGCTCAGGTTTAATTAGCACTTTTAATGCTTGGAAAGGAGGCACCAGGGGATACTCGGCGGGTTGGATGCGTTTTCCTCACTAGTGATCCGGGATGGCAACAGGGAAGTTCCCCAGTTCCCAACAGGGAAGTTCCCCATGGTCAACATTGCCCTGGGGTCTAAGACAGCAAATACCCTTGGTAAACCCTTCTTGGAGCCCTCAGAGCAGGGGTACCTCTGTCAAAAGGGGGTTTTGTATAAAAGCCAAACAGTTGGCATGCTCTGCCAGTGTGGGATCTAGTTTGAGAGGTGCCTGAGCCCACATGAGCTCAGCTGAGCTGTTTGTCCTTGTACCCTCTCTGTTATTGGGGAACAACATCCATTCTTTGGCCTGCTTGGTCTGCTAAACCAAGGACTCCTCCCTTGGGTACAAGGCACTGATGTTGCTGTGTGGATGAAATCAGCCCCACTCAGGATCTGAGAGACCAGAGGAGATGGCAGCAGAAGTCCCACAAAGGACCAGGATGGCAAAACCTGCCTAGGGAAGGACTCATGCCCTTGGTTTACCTTGGTTGGCCATGGTGTGTCTGCAGAGACAATGCTGTTTCCTGGTGAGGATCACATCTCCCATCACCATCCTTCTGCAGCAGTGCCCTCAGCTCCCCGCACCACGGTGCTGAGCTCCGTCACATGCTGTTGCAGTGGCATCACTTCTGCATCTCGGCGATGGGGTCTCCATCTCCAGCAAGGCCTTGCACCCAGAGCTTGCAATGCTCCAGCCATGGAGGATGCTGAGCTTCCAACAAGTGTGGGTGCTGCAGAGAAATAAAATACATAAAGTACTTGGTAAGAGCAGTGGCAGGCCTTCACACTGTGAGCTCGGGACATAAAGTGTTGGACTCAGGGGACCATGAGGGGGACCTGCAACAAGACAAGGCTGGAGAGCTTGGGGAAGTGTTTCCCCAAAGATCTGCCAAATGGAGGGCTTCCAAACTCCCACCCCAGGGCTTTGTACCACAGACCAAACACAGCCGTGGAATGCAGTGGGGCTGCCACTGAGGCCTCCCTGCAGTTCTCTGATGCTGGACTCCCACCAAAGCACGGTGAGGCAGTGCAAGAAGGAGAGCCTTGCGTTCTCCATGATACCCCCAGTGTCCCTCCCTCGCCTGTGTTTCAAAGCAACTTGTGCCCCTGTCAGACCCAACCCTGCAGAGACGCAGCCCCCAAAGTCTCCCACATGTGCCCATTGTCAGGCCCCTTCTGTGTTCCCCAGCTCCCTGAACCAGCCGCGGTCCCAAGCTCCCAGGCAGGGATCCAGGAAGCCACAGCCGCCGGTGTACGTGCCCTGTTCGTGTGCGAGGGAAACCGGCCGCATCCTGCTCCCCGAGCACGCAGACATGTGCCGGGAGAGGATGGAGCTGCTGAGGGCACAGGGAGCAGCCGGGACTCTGCGGGCAGAGCCAGTCCTGGCCCCGCTGCATCCCGTCCCTGCCGCCGCGCCAGGACCACGCGGGGGACCCACGGGGCATCCCCGCACCACGCAGGGCCCTTTCTCGCCTTCCCAGCCCTCCGCAAATGCCAACTGCCTGTTTTCCAGTTCCTGCAGATTTACCCCCTCCTCCCCCCTCGTGTCCCCCCCCCCTTTTCCTTCCTTTCTTCTTCCTGGGTTAAAAATAATCAAGTTTCTGGGAAGCGCAGCCCCTGCTGCGCCTGCCTCCCTGCACTCGCGCCCCGGAGAATAGCTCCGCTCCCGGCTCTGCTCCGGCCCCTCCTCGCTGCTCTCTCCTTCCTCCTCCCCACCCCCTACAGGGATCTGACTAATATGCTCGGGCTCTGCTTGCCAGCTCAGCTGGAAAGGAATTTAACCATTGCCTGGCCTGGAGGGAGCGAGCGGAGAGACCGGACGTTCCCCCCCTAAGGAGAGGAGAGACCCGTCCTCCATCACCCGGCACCCCTGGGCTGGGTCCCTGTGCAGCCATGCTCCCTTGGGTGCTGGCCCGAGGGTGATGGAGGAGGAAGGATGCGTGGTGCCAGCACCCCACGGTGAGTGGTAGTCCCAGCACCGAGCCCCACATGGGTGCAGTAAGCCTTGTGGGCTCACTCAGAGGTGTCCTGCCATTCCTTAGGCCATGCAAGGTGAAACGCAGCACCCTAGGTACAGTGGTCCCCAGGGGTTGGCTCACGGGAGCAACTCATCCAGCCATGGATGCTCCCTGGGCACCCTGCAACTCGTCACAGGCCTCAGTGCAGGGTGAGGGTGGAAGATGGGTATGACAAAGTGCTGCTTGGGGGTCATGGTACTGCTCGAGGAGCGTAGTGGGACCCACGGCTCCAGCCCCACAGCCTTGAGGAGCATGGGGAGAGCCCTGGGCATGGGGAGCTGTGGCTCAGCCCTGCTGCAGTGCAGCTCTGGCAGGAGCCAGCAACCCTCTGCCGAGTGCTGGGACTCAGCTTCTCCGGTATGACAGTGGGTAGGAAGCTGCAAGCAAAAGCAATGTCACACGTGGGTAACAAGCAAAAGCTTCTCTGTTCCCATGGCTAAACCCTGGTGCTAAAAAAGCTGCTGTTTGTGCAGACCCCCTGCGTGCCCCCCCTTTGCCAGCCAGGCTCAGATTTAGCAGCACAGAAGGAGCTGGAGCCATGGCTCTGCTTTACTGCAGGATAAGCAAAGTGCAAAGCTTTGACCAAGGTTATCCCAGAAAGGCTGTGGCAGAGGTAAGAGCTGACCCCCCCCCAAGGCTTCACTCATTGGTGTAATGAAGCGTCTCCTGCTCTGCCACAAACTCTCCTTGATAACTCCTGCAAGGCCAGGAATCCTAAGCCTAGCACCCCATAGGCAGTGCTGGGCTCAGCTAACCCCCTGTGCTGGCTGCTTCAGCTCCCTGCCGGGGCACAAACCATCCCAAAGGAGGATACTACCTTCCTGGAGTCCGATGTTGGGTGAGCTGTAAGCCCAGACTGTGTGGAGATGGGTCTGGGGAGGAGGAAAAGGCACCGGGCACAAAGCTGGGACCAGGAGAGCACAGGAAAGCTGCATCCAGGGATGACCCTTTAGCTGCTGGGATGCTCCATAGAGTGGGTCCAGCATATGCCAGGGGAAGGGGGTTGCCCTGGCAAGAAGGAATACGAAAGAGGAAGATGTCTCCTCTCCAAATCCTCCCTTAAATGGCAGTTCTGCTATGAAACAGGATGGGGCTCAGTGTTTGTTTTCTCTGCAGGACCCGAGCGTGGCTCAGCCTGGGACTGCAGAGTCAGGCTGGGCTCCTGGCTCACACGGCCCCAGCTCGGCTCTCACAAACATCCCTGCAGAGCCATTGCTCCGGGTGAGAGAGAGGAGGGGAATAAGCATCATCTCACTCCCACCTCAGCTTTCTGCCCCGGTTACAGGGCTTGAGGCTGCGGGATGGATGTGTGGAGGACGTGAGCCCTTGTGCACCAGGAGATGCGCAGCTGAGCCCCTTTGGCCCCTCACGTTATGGGATGAAACAAGAGATGGCAGGACAGAAGCAGGACCCTGACCATCCCTTGGCAAGCAAGGACACTCTTGTTTGCTCCTCCATCCTAAATGCCTTGGAGCTCCCCCCCAGCCCTTCCAGCCCCACAGGCCCCACGGCAACCTCAGGAGCCAGGAAATGCTGGGATTGAGAAACTGCAGGCAGCAGGATGAGACAGGAGCCAGCGCAAGCAGGATGTGACTCAGGGGTGACTGGGACCGCTGCAGGGGTGTCACCAGGAAGCGGTACCTGGGGCCCATCCTGTACCCTCCCTCTCATGCTCCTCATGGCCAAGCCCCAGCTCGCCACAGGAGACAGCAGGTCCCGGTCATGTTTCACCACCTCAGTCCTCTGTTAACAGCACAGCCCCTGTCTTCTCCCTCCATCCACCACAGGGTTTTGCCTTCCTGCCCTTCCCAGGGCTGTCCCTGCCACCACAGCGCCCCAGCCCTGTCACCCATCTATGTGGCAAACCTGATAATTCCCAAGGATTTTTCAGCACAGACTGGATGGCAGGGATGGGAAGTTTGGAATGAAGGAGAGCTCAGACACTGGGTAGACCTTCCCCTCGTCCTGCTTCACATCCGCTGCTGTAGCACTGCAGGAAAGGAGAAAGAAGAGGATGAAGGAGAAGAAGAGAATAAAACCACCACCAACAAAACAACAGAAACGTGGTTTTGCCTGTCCCCTCTATGTGCCGTGGTCCCTGATGGATTCCAGCACATCCTCACATTTCCTAGCTCCAGCATGGCCAAGGAAAGCCAGCTGAACAGCCACTGCCGCAGCATCGCCTGCTTGGGAAGAGAAATCCAACCCCAGGCACAAGCCATAGCACCCAATCTATTAAAAGCAAGAACAAAAGGCATTAAACCCATTACAACCCAAAGACTGGACACAGACTCACTGGCTTTGTGGCAGTTCAACCCCAGTTTCAGCTCACCCGGTCTGAGAGCAGAGGAGTTGGTATTGTGCTCATCCATCAAGTGGACCCATTTTACTGGTCCAGTGAGGTCCTGTGGGTGCTCAGAGCCACCCCATGCTGTGCAGGGCATGGGACAGCTTTGCAGACGGGATATGTCCCTCTCCTTTGCAGGGGAATGGCTCATGGAAGTGTCACAAAAAGCCAGTGCTCAGCAAAGAGCTTTAGCTGGGTTAGTGCTCTTCCAGCCAAGGAATTCAGTTCAGTTCCCAACACCCCGGTTCATCAGCCATCCCTCCACACAAGGAATTATTTGTCCCAGATGAGGAAAAACAGATCAACAAGGAGATGGATGCAGCAGTTGAATCCAGTAATGCCCACAGACGGGTGAACTGCTTCCTTGCTGTGGGGCAGGACACCAGGGAGATGTGGGACTGTGGGTGAGCCCAGGACACCCAACCCACTGCAGCCCCTGGTAGATAAGGGCAGCCCCCATCCCTATGGAAAGACATATGATGGAAAAGACCCTGTTACACAAACAGCTCCGACCCTGCCCACCAGGCAACAAAATCTCAAGGGCTCCAAGATGCTGCAGTTCTCCTTTTCCATTTCCCCACACAGGCAGGTCAGCAAAGCACAAGGACACGCTCCCAGGGGAGAGAAAGCTCCAAAGCTTGGCTGGGAGAGAGGAATGGGAGTGCAGGAGTGCAGTTTAGCCTGAAGGCCTGGAGATCCTCCTGGGAGGTACCTCTGGACCCAGGAGGATGCAGGAGCCAACAGCAACATCACAGCAACTCCCTCAGACATCACAGTTGCTCTCTGGGTAATGCACTATCTCCAATGTGGGGCCAAACCCTTATCCCTCATCCGTGATCCAGGAGAGCCTGCACTGCCCAGAAAACATGGGGTGTCTTTCCATGGCCAACTCTAACCCAGGCACGGAGGCACCGGTGGTGGGGCTGAAAGGGACTTGCGCTCTGCTCACTGGGTGACTCTCATCTAAGAGCTGATGGAGATTGTGTTTGCTTGGCTCTGAGGAATAGTGGATTGATCACCAACTGGAAGATTCAGAGAGGCTGAATCATCCTGAAACTCAGGGTGAAGCTGAGAAAGTGTTTGAAGTGAAAAAGAGAAATACTTGCGTAGCGCAGGGGAGGAGGCTTTGAAGATCTCAGACTATCTCGTTCCCTCTCTCGCAGGATGAATTGTTGTATTTGAGCATTTTCTAAAAGAATCATTTTGATTTTCTCATTCCCCCAAATCTGTATTTTTTCAGTTCAAAAAGTGACCCCCATGTAAACGAAGAGATCTCATTAAAATCAGGCAACCCCCAAACATAACCAACCAAAACCCTTTCAGGCCAAACCAAACATTCTGGCTTTACCCAGCCCAACCACTTACACTGCTTTGGGGTATCGTATGGATTCTTTTTTACATTAGTTTCCATTTTGCCAGAAATTGCCTCCTAATCCCTGTTCTGGGTTGACATCATCCAATTCCCACACCCAGAATGTTCTCTTTGTGCACCAGCTGACACTCTCCATTCATTTTCCCAGCAACATGGTACTCCATCAATGGGCCAGACCCACTGGAGGAACTACCTCCTCTGAGAAGGATGAACGCTTTGGTTCACCTTGCTCGCAGAGCTCTGAGCATCCCTCGCAGGACCTTCACCCAACCTCCAAACCCTGGTTATTGAGGGACATTTAAGCCTCCTTAATAACTCAGCAGCCCAACAGCCACCTCTACTCTTACGTTACTCTTCTCAGGAGACCTGCTTTCCAACCCAACTCAATTCTACCCAATCCAAACTGACTCAACCCAACCCAACTTTCTCCCGCAGTCTCCATCCCCATCACCCACACCGGGTAGCATCATGCCCAACTCCAAGCTCACCATACAGCCATAAGAAGAGGGATTTACCACCCAAAAAGAGCAGGTTTCCCTAAGGCTGCCGCAGCGGAGGTTGAAAGGGGGGGTGTCAGACAAAGAGATGCCGGGCTGCACTTGCAGCCCCTGCCCTGGCTGCAGAGACAAGGAGCAGCAGGATTGTGCTCTGCAACCCCAGGCAAAGAGGTGAGACCCCAGGAAAGTAGCAAACAAGTTGAGGTGTAAATGCAGGCTGTATCCACGGCACTCGAGCGCGGTTCGTTATCTCTGCTTACACTGGAGCCGGTGGAGCCGGGTTTGAGAGGAGCAGAAATCTCAGCAATTAAAGATATGTCGTGTCAAAAAACCTCTAAACTGATTAAAGTTGAAGGCTCCGTTTTCTTCTTTTCATCAGAGAACGGAATCAAAACCTGCCTGGAAAGACGCACTCCCCCCGTTCCCAGCGCTCCGAAGGCAGCGCCTGCATCCGTCCTGCTGTGTCCCTGCATTTTAATTACCACCTTATTAATATTCATGAGACTAGGCACTCAAGGGGGATTGCAGTCTGTCATTCTCTCTCTTTCTCTCTCTATTCCCCCCCTCTCCAACCTCTCTCGGCTGAATCCATAGTTTTTTTTCCCTTCCCCTTCCCAACAGTTGGCATGCAGCAGATCCGTAAGGCTGCGTGTGCATGCGTCCCCGAAGGCGACGAGCATGCAAGGGGCTGCAGGGAGGATGCTGGTGGTGGTGGCAGGACACGGGGTGAGGATGGGTTGGTTGGTGCGGGGTTGCCCCCATCACATGTGGTGGTCCCAGCATCCGGAGACAAAACTGTCACACACTTGGGGTGTGATTAAAGCACAAGAGCAGAGGGGCCGGTTGGGAGCAGGAGAGCTGGAGCACATGGGAATGGGCATGTGAGGAGTGCGTGCAGACAGGGGGTATATCTGCGCGTTCTCACATTCGTGTGCATAACTCCTGGTAGCAGCATCACTGCTGAGTGATGGGTGATGATGTAGGACCTGCATGAGAAGAGGATGGCTGTGCAGAATGGCACTGGGTGAATGCAGATGCTTTCAGCCTCCATCCCACCAGCTCTCCTTGGCGACTGAGCACCCTGCACCCCAGCTCACCATGCTTGGGCAAAACCAGCCACTGAGAGCATCACAGCACAGCCAAGAGGCCACCACGTAGGTTCCTGGTGGAGCCACAGCCTTGGCTGTCAGGGTGAAGTGGGACCTAGGAGGTCTTGCGTGCATTCAGCAAGGGGGTGACTCCCCCCACGGCTGTGCCCCCTTTGCTGGTGCAGTTTGATGGCTGCACAAATTGGATCCCATTTGTTTTCTCAGGTCCATGGCGCCGGCATGCCCCAGGAGGAGAGAGGGCAGAAAGCCTGGCTGGAGGGCACACAGAGGGAATGGGCTGGTGGTGGAGCTGAAGGTAAATCGATTTTCTCATTCCTAAGTTGAGCAATGTGAGGTTTGCCTGCTCCTCGCTGCCACGGAGTGCTTAACCCTTTCCGTAGTCATTACTGAAAGCAGTGGCCACATGGGCAGCGAGCAGAGAGCTTGTGGGGCTTTGCAAACCCTGCTTCTCCCTCAAAAAAACACAGGAGGGGCCAGGCTGTCCCCTCCCAGGTCCCTGTCCCTGGGGACATCAAGGACATCAGTGGGGTGATGATGCAGAGCCCGGCTGTAGGTAGTGGGCAGGTTCCCACATCACCCCACACTTCTCAAAGCCACTGGCAAAGGGGCACACGGGTCTCCCCATCCCAACAACCACCAGTTGCAGACTGGAGCCCACCTCCGTTCTCCATGCAGCCGCAGCCAGACCACAGTCCCACCTTCCCCCAGCATCTTCCTCTTGGCTAATGCCACCCAGAGCACCATCAAGCAGCCCAAAACCCCTTTGCGGACGGATGCGCTGCCTCCTCAGCACCAACCACCTGCGAGCAACCTGTCGAGAGACACTCCAACCCGGTGGCTCCCCAACGCCCCACTTGCTCAGCTCCACAAATATTTGAATTAAGGTCCCCATGGGAGCCGCAGTCACAGAGTAACTGATTTCTCCTCCTTCATTATATCTCTGTGTAATTTACCGAGGGACGGCGGCGTGTGCCTCCGTTCCAGCGAATTCCCAGCAGGACTCCCCAGAGCTCACAAATCAGGCAAAGGCAAGGCATTAGAATATGAAAGGTGAGGCTGGGCTCTCCACCAAGGCTCATCCTGCTCTTCCCCGGCTCTGCCAGCCCTGAATTGTGTTTTATTTCCGCCTGCTGCCTCCTGGGCGAGCGGGGAGGTCACGGGTTGGGGATGAGCCACGGGGCTGTGTCCTCGGCTCCTGCTCCCTTCTAGGCAAGAAGAAGGGGGAAATGGGTGCCGTCCCTCTGGGCAGCATCTCAAAGAGATGCCAAGGAAGCTGGTGCAGCAAAGGTTTCCGAGTGAAACTACATCACCTGGCCCTGAAGTCTGACTTGCTTGCACCTGGATAAGTAGCCTGTGCCTCAGTTTCCACGTCTACGGAAGTAGACCGATTTACTGATTTAAGAACCCCCAACACTTAGATGTTGGAGGTCTGTAAAAGGCAACCGGCATTATGGATCCATCTGTGCTGTATCTCCAGCAAGGAGGAGCTGGAGGACAAGTCTGCCAGTGTAGCTCTATAGTTACCAGAAAGAGCTCAAAGAATCGCCAAGGAGAAAGAGAAGAAACATGAAAAAATGAGGAATTTGGACCAAGGAAGCACAACCAAGCTGCTTGGTGCTGTTAACACAAGATGGGAGGAGGTCTTCAGCAGACCCACCTCGATCC